ATAGTTCCGTGAACATGTCCATTTTCTCAGGCCGTGAAAATTTTGCTTCCGTTAGTAGTAGTTAGAATCTCATCAAAAGTGTAAAGTAAAGCTGTCGAGATTTAAAGTGCGTGTCGTTGTATCTTTGTAAAAAAAAGGCAGATAATTGCCAAGTGCCAGTTTTGTAAATACCTGTCGAGATTCAAACAGCTTGTCCTTGTATAATTGCAGTATGATTTATTTAGAATCTCTCATTTTTGTTTGGGGAAGGGTATGGAGTGAAATTCCTACATTTGCTCCGAAGCGAATGTTGGCCTTTCTAGTTTAAACGGATTCAGCTTCTTCATTTTAGGGCCTAAGGTCCTGAAATTTGGTATGGAGGTACAGTGGGCAAATACCCCTAGGCGTTTTAAATTTGTGATAGAGGCTTTAGAATGGTTTTATTTTAGTTTTTTGGCTGTGTTATCGCAAATGCATTACTGTGTTAGTGTGCCGTGTTTACCACGTCTGGGCATGAGTCATCACAATGGAATGCAGGGCATCAACCAATAGGCATGCAGCTTTCCTCTATTCTTCTTGCTGATTGGCTGTTGGGATTTAACTTGATTAACACCTGCACAGAGCATTTCCACCTGCACAGAGCATTTCTTGCTGATTGGCTGTTGGGATTTAACTTGATTAACACTGCACAGAGCATTTCCATACTGACAGTATGTCTTTAATTCAAGTGTTTTGGTAGGTATTTCAAGCTTTTCTGCTCCAGCATTGGAATGCGGGGCATGAACGTTTTTTTTTTTTGAAAATCAACAGTTTGCATTATGCAATTAAAAATCCTAACCAATAAAGTAGGGAATAGCTATCCAACTGTTGTTTTAGTTGTATGTTACTTCATATTATAGTTATATCAATGTAAATCATTGTTTTCCCTTGTGTTTCTCATTCTTTCCCTGCCATGTCGTAAAATGTGGTGAACCCATCGCTGTATTTGCTCCAAAGCAAATATTGGCCTTTTCTAGTTTACATTTGATATAACTATAATATGAAGTAACATACAACTAAACAACAGTTGGATAGCTATTCCCTACTTTAATTGGTTAGGATTTTTAATTGCATAATGCAAACTGTTGATTTTCAAAATAAAAAAAACGTTCATGCCCCGCATTCCAATGCTGGAGCAGAAAAGCTTGAAATACCTACCAAAACACTTGAATAAAGACATACTGTCAGTATGGAAATGCTCTGTGCAGGTGTTAATCTAAGTTAAATCCCAACAGCCAATCAGCAAGAAATGCTCTGTGCAGGTGGAAATGCTCTGTGCAGGTGTTAATCAAGTTAAATCCCAACAGCCAATCAGCCAGAATTATAGAGGAAAGCTGCATGCCTATTGGTTGATGCCCTGCATTCCATTGTGATGACTCATGCCCAGACGTGGTAAACACGGCACACTAACACAGTAATACATTTGCTATAACACAGCCAAAAAACTCAAATAAAACCTTTCTAAAAGCCTGTATCACAAAAATTTAAAAACGCCTAGGGGTATTTGCCCACTGTACCTCCATACCAAATTTCAGGACCTTAGGCCCTAAAATGAAGAAGCTGAATCCATTTAAAAAATGGCAGGAGGAGGAGAAGGAGGAGAAAAAGCAATATGGGTTCACCACCACTTCGTGGTGTGGTGAACCCATAAAAATATGCTGTAGATATTGTATAGATAATCCTTTAGCACCGGGACCTCTCAATTCTGAGTCGATCACTCTGCCGCTACGCCACACGAACCCACAACATATAATTGTCATTCGACAACGTGCCATGATGCAATAACACACCTTTTTTTAGCTAGAACCTGCATAATGGCATGGTATAATGTTTCTGTTGTGAACGTGTTGAAGTCCAGCCTCACTCCCAGCCCTCTGGATACCACCCGAGCCGCGTTGCCGGGCTGGTCCCCGATCAGCGGCAGACAGACCATGGGTACCCCGTGGTACAGGGCCTCGTACATACCGTTAGAGCCCGTATGGGTGACGAACGAGGCTTTGGATTTTGGGTGACCTGTGAATTATTGTTGGTCAGAAGTTAATGATGAGAAGTAGTCATATAGACGTTGTATTTGCCTACATGTTTCAAACGTGTTGTCTTTAACTTGGGAAATTAAAAGATATGTTACTACATATATACTATATATATATATATATATATATATATATATATATATATATATATATATATATATATATATATATAATTACGCTGGAGAGTCTGTCTTGTTCAGCATTTTTTTTCGCCCACGGAGAAAAAAAACATTACAAACACGCCGGTCACTTGTTATGGAACAAGTTAGATATGTCCTTTGTGACCCTATGTACCATAGTTATACAATTATTGACCGCTGACTTGTGTTTATCTTTATTATGATGTACAGTCTCTGTGATACGTGCATTTGTACAAGTTTAAATATGAGACTGGTTTGTTAGACAAACGAAAGTGGTGTGTGTTCAGTTAGTTTGAGTTTGGGTGCATGTGTACATAAGATATGTTTGTATGGTTAAAATTTCCCACCCAGTAAGTCGTTCTGCGGCAGCCAGCTCATCAGCTTGGTGTTGTTGCCCAGCCCGGCCGGCTTCTCTCCCGTGTACCGCCACACCACCTTCTGTCGGAGCTGCGCGAAGGCTGCTGCCATTACCTCTGCCCTTTCAAGGTTGATGGTCTTGACCTGTGAGCCGAAGCTGACCACCACGACCCCAGCACTGCCAGAACTCTGCATGAACAGCTCTAAATCCTGTAAAGGAGAGGAGGGGTTCTCATTATTTGACAAGTGCAACGTGCTTCTAATATGTTGGTATGGAGGAAGAAGGTGATCTATACTGTATGTCACCATACATAAACACCCTCACTGCATAAAAAAAAACACGCGCACACAATTACATAATAGTATACACATACATGCAACATACAAAAAACACGCAAGCAAATACACGCGCATAACACCACATACACACGTTCACACACAGGTGCACCTCGGAAAGAGAATTGGCCGCTTGGGAGTTTATCCCTCCGACGTCCACCATGTTGGGCATTCTCGGGCTCGGGAGGTCCAGCAAAACGTCGGTTTGATACAGCCATACATCCGTCTTCGCCAGAACTCCCACAAGAGTCTCCTCCTCGCCGAGGTACTTTTTCACCAAGTCAATGTTGATACGTCCCACGATCCACTGAAACACCACAGGCGCTGAGCATGACACGACAAGGTTCTGCACCCGCTGTGAGAAAGTCATCCGGTCTGTAAAACTGGACAAGATATACGGTACATAGGACGGGGGGCGGGGCACCCCTGTTGCGAAGGAGTTAAGTCCCGAGAGGTCACCACGCAGGAGAGCGACGTGGGGGACGCCCAGGTGAGCTGCGACTATGGCTCCACACTGGCTAAAGAACGGCTGTGACACAACAACCCGAAAACGTGCTTGTTTCAGCCTCCCCATCAAGTTTGCATTTGCCATCAGCAGATCACAGTGCTCAGCCATAAAGTTCATCCCCTCTTGGAGGTGTTGCAAAACATGGAAGACGGACTTATTAAACGCTTCTTCTATCTGAGCTGTGTTGGCTTCCAACTGGTCACGGCTTCCCTGGTCAAAGAACGACTCGAACCGAAGCTCGGGTCTGTCGGCGCGACGTTTGTCCACGATGTCCTGAGAGACAACAACGGTGACGTCGTGGCCCCTCCCCGCCAAGGCCTGGCCGACTGACGCTAGGGGAAACCAGTGGCTGCCCCCAACGGCCGGCGGTACCACCAGAACCTTCTCCGCTCCGATTCTGTGAACAGTCAGAATTACGTATATACCATCATACACAACACTACATACTGCGTTCCAGTCTCCATTGCGTTGAAAAGATCCGGAAGTTGTTCGAGAGGCTACGCGGAAGTGACCTGAGCTCCGAACGTGTCTCAAATTCCGAAGTTTTAAGCAGCTTGATTAGTAGTTTCCACAGTTTGCAGGTCTTGTAATATGACAGCTAAACAATGACGACACAAAAATCACAACCACAACCTCTATGGTGCTCTACAAACTATTCTGGTCGGGAATAGATAATTCAGTAGATACACGTACGTGCTAATGACCTAGGCAAATCGACCGGTAGAACATTGACCTGCTAGTTTACTCAGCACACTAGCTGGGCAGCGTTGCTTTGGCGATGACATGAGGTCAGTCGAACGTTGGGTCGTACCACTTGTCGACCGATACCGTACTAATATTTTGAAGAAACGGTGACCAGTGATTAAATAAAATATCATACATGCCACTTTGTTTTCGAGAAATGCATCTGAAAGAAGACCCGTTCTTTAGTTGTTGGATGTGTAGTCTGAGGCTGAAATCGCTACATTTCTCTTTCTGATACCACGCAATTACCTCTTTAGGCTGAGTCCAGGTTAACTAAAGGAAACACGAAAGAGCAGATGTTTGTTGCGGCAGCTATCATTTTCCCATCTTTATTGTCTTTATTCTATTCCTCCAACTTTTCAAGGCAAATAAATGATTGGCAAAAACAGTTGGACGAATGTCAAATAAGAATCGGACTTTAATCTATGAGCAGATTTCGTATTAGAAGATCAATTACTTCTTTTTAGGAGACTAACAACATTGCATTTTATATTACTTATCATAAGTTACTAGAGTTTCCTATTGTTTACCTAATTCAGTTATAAGAATGTCATATAAAGCTTAGATTTTGATAATTGTTGTTGTTATTGTTGTTGTTTTCAATGCATTGTATCATATACAGATGCTTTATAATAAAGTTCATCATGCAATTAATTCTGTGTATACAAACGTAGTTTATGATGTTACATACAGCAGATACCGCTAGTGAGTTACCTCTAACGTTACAATCTTTGGAATTCTCTACTGAGACTTCAGCTTGTCGCCACTTTTACGACAAATCTTTCTACAGACGAGAGAACAGCTGCACCAGATGAGCACAAGAACAGCTGAACAGACGGCCAACTGGAAGACAGCCACGTCCAGCAGGTAGTACTGGTACCACGGCAGCTCCGCGGCGCGTGCGCGGAGATGGGGCAGTCCGCCATGTTTGATGACGTGTTCTATCCACCAGACGGCCCGCTCCATGGGTGACTGGGGCTGGTCACGGTGCAGACGGGACAGGCGGGCTGCCGTCTCACGGTAGCTAGTATCGGGCAAACAAGAACAAATCTGTAGCATAGTCCAATCGAAGGGAGAAGTTGTTTTCCTTGGTATGCTTACTTGTCAAAAACGATATTGTCATTAGATCAACAATGGCAAAGAAATCTATCTTTGCTGCAAAACGTATCAATTTCAATAGAAAGATTATGCTGTAGATATTGTGTAGATTATCCTTCAGCACCAAGGACAGGTCTGATATGGGCAAAGCTAAGCGTTCAATAAGGCAAGACTAGCTACTAATGTTCCCTTATTGATTATAGAATACTTCTTTTTTGGCCTTTGGATGTTATTTTTCACTCGTGCTCCCTTTTGGATATTTAGACCTGTGAATTATGCTGCCATACATATACTTGTCATAAGACAACGTGTCATGTTGCATTAACGCACCTTTTGTCAGTTAGAACCTGCATAATGGCCTGGTACAATGTTTCTGTTGTGAACGTGTTGAAGTCCAGCCTCACTCCCAGCCCTCTGGAGACTACCCTAGCCGCGTTGCCGGGCTGGTCTCCGAAAAGCGGCAGACAGACCATGGGCACTCCGTGGTACAGGGCCTCGAACACACCGTTAATCCCGGTATGGGTGACGAAGGCTTTGGTTTTTGGGTGACCTGCAAAATAACCAGCGTAGCATAAATTATTGTTGGTCAGAAGTTAATGATAAGAATACAATTATTCACAACTGCCTTGTGTTTATCTTTTATTATGATGTACAGTCTCTGTTTAATGTGATTTTGTACAAGTTTAAGTATGAGACTGGTTTGTTTAACTAACGAACGTGGTCTGTGTGTGCAGTTACGTTGAGTTTGGGTGCATGTGTACATAAAGATATGTTTGTATGGTTAAAATTTCCCACCTAGTAAGTCGTTCTGTGGCAGCCAGCTCATCAGCTTGGTGTTGTTGCCCAGCCCGGCCGGCTTCTCTCCCGTGTACCGCCACACCACCTTCTGTCGGAGCTGTGAGAAGGCTGCTGCCATGACCTCTGCCCTTTCAGGGTTGATGGTCTTGGCCTGTGAGCCGAAGCTGACCACCACGACCCCAGCACCGCCAGAACTCTGCATGAACAACTCTAAATCCTGTAAAGGAGAGGAGGGGTTCTCATTATTCGACAAGTGCACCGTGCTTCTAATGTGTTGGTATGGGGGACGGAGGTGATCTATACTGTATGTCGCCACATACAAACACAAGCACATACATACCTTTACACATATATGCTCGCACACAAGACACGCATTTAAATACAAGCGCATAACACCACATACACACGATCACACACAGACGCACCTCGGAAAGAGAATTGGCCGCTTGAGAGTTTATCCCTCCGACGTCGACCATGTTGGGCATTCTCGGGCTCGGGAGGTCCAGCAAAACGCCAGTTTGATACAGCCACACATCCGTCTTAGCCAAAACCCCCACAAGAGTCTCCTCCTCGCCAAGGTACTTTCTCACCAAGTCATTGTTGATACGTCCTGAGATCCACTGAAACATCATGGACACTCTAAATGACACGACAAGGTTCTGTACCCGCTGTGAGAAAGTCATCCGGTCGGTAAAACTTGACAGGAGAAACGGTACATAGGACGGGGGGCGGGGCACACCTGTGGCGAGGGTGTCAAGTCCAACAGGGTCATTACGCAGGAGGGCGACGTGAGGGAGGCCCAGATGTGCTGCGACTATGGCTCCGCAGTGGCAAAAAAAGGGCTCTGATACGACAACCTGAAAACGTGCTTGTTTCAGCCTCCGCATCAAGTCGACATCTCCTAGCAGCAGATCGCAGTACTGAGCCGTAAATTTGGTCATCTCTTTCAAGATTTGCAACCTATGGAACATAGAGTTATCCGACACGTCGCTCATCTGGGCTATAATGGCTTCCAACCCAGCACGACTTCTCTTGTCTAAGAACGACTCGAACTGCAGCTCGGGTCTCTCGGCGCGACGTTTGTCCACGATGTCCTGAGAGACAACAACGGTGACGTCGTGGCCTCTCCCCACCAAGGCCTGACCGACTGACGCTAGGGGGAACCAGTGGCTGCCCGCTACGGCCGGCGGCACCACCAGAACCTTCTCCGCCCCGATTCCGTGAACTGTCAGAATTATTATCACACACAACAGTACATACTGCGATCTGATCTCCATGGCGTTGCGTCTAGACGATCCGGACGTCGTTTGAGAGGCTACGCGGAGGTGACCTGAGATCGGAACGTGTCTCAAATTCTCAAAGTTTAAGCAGCTGGCTTGGGAGTTTCCACAGTTTGCGGGTCTTGTAATATGTAGACAGCTTAAGAATGATGACCTTGTGCCACAGAAAAATCAAAACCACAACCTTTGTGGTGCTGTAGAAACTATTTTAGTTGGGAATAGATAATTCGGTTGTAGAAACACGCGTGCTCCACGTAGGCAAAACGACCGGTGGAACATTGACCTGCTAGTTTACTCAGCACAGGGGGCGTTGCTGTGACGATGACATGAGGTTAGTAGAACTTTGGGTCGTACCACGTCATGACGTGGCCTTGATCCAGTCGAACCGAACCGATATTTTGAAGAATCTGTTACCGGAAACTAGACAAAATATTATACATTCTACTTTGTTTTCGAGAAAAATATATCTAAAAGATCTAGAGAAGACCCGTTCTTTAGCTGCTGTCATGCATGTGTAGTATGAGGCTGAAATCTCTACATTTCCTTTTCTGATACTAGTACATGTACCTCTTTAGGCTGAATATTGTTCCAGATTCAAGAAACTAAACGAGCATATATTTGTTGCAGCTTTTGTTTACCCAACTTTCATCTCTCTCTAAGTTTATTCTACTTTTTTGGACTTGACAAGAAAGGGAGGTGTTTGAAAAAAAACAGTCGAGCTAGTGTCAAATAAGAATCGTACTTTACAAGCAGATGTCGGGGATAGAACTCCGGCTCCTAAAATTAAACACCCCACTTTTTAGGACACAGCAATTGCACTGCATTTCATGTATGCATGTTACTTATCCTTGCAAGTTAGTATCCTCCTGTTTACTTAGTTAGTTACAAGGATGTCATATAGATATTAGACTCTCAGAATTGTTGTTATAATTGTTGTTTCCATGTATTGTACCATGTACATATACGTAAATAACTTCTTTTATTATACAGCCGTAGCTTATGATGCAGCAGATAGTGTTAGTGAGGGGCTCCTAACGTTACAATCTTTAGGACTCTTTACTGAGACTTCAGCTTGCCATCCCTTTTGCTACAAATTTTTCTACAGGCAAGAGAACAGCTGCACCAGATGAGCACAAGAACAGCTGAACAGACGGCCAACAGGAAGGCAGCCACGTCCAGCAGGTAGTACTGGTACCACGGCAGCTCCACGGCGCGTGCGCGGAGATGGGGCAGGCCGCCATGTTTGATGACGTGTTCTATCCACCAGACGGCCCGCTCCATGGGTGACTGGGGCTGGTCACGGTGCAGACGGGACAGGCGGGCTGCCGTCTCACGGTAGCTAGTATCGGACAAACAAGAACAAATCTGTAGCATAGTCCAATCGAAGGGAGAAGTAGTTTTCCTTGGTATGCTTCCTTGTCTAAAACTATATTGTCATTAGATCAAAAATGGGAAAGAAATCTATCTTTCCTGCAAAACGTATCAATTTCAATAGAAATATTATGCTGTAGATATTGTATAGATTTTTCTTCAGCACCAAGGACAGGTCTGATATGGGCAAAGCTAAGCGTTTAATGAGGGAAGACTAGCTACTTATGTTGTTTTATTAATTATTGAATACTTCTTTTCTTGGCGTTTGGATGTTATTATCTGTTTGCAAGTAGCCCTTGGGCACGAACTTGCAATAAAGAACTCAATTATCCACTCGTGCTCACTAATATTGGTCATTTAGACCTATGCATCATGATGCCATACATATACTTGTCATAAGACAACGTGTCATGATGCATTCACGCACCTTTTGTCAGTTAGAACCTGCATAATGGCCTGGTACAATGTTTCTGTTGTGAACGTGTTGAAGTCTAGCCTCACTCCCAGCCCTCTGGAGACTGCCCGAGCCGCGTTGACGGGCTGGTCCCCGAAAAGCGGCAGACAGACCATGGGCACCCCGTGGTACAGGGCCTCGAACATACTGTTACCCCCGGTGTGGGGGATGAAGGCTTTGGTTTTCGAGTGACCTGCAAAATAAGCGTTGACTGAGTAACAAACGTAGGATAAGTCAGAAGTTGCACATTATATTGTTGTTGAGAAGTACATGTAATGGAAAAAGATGTTCTGTTCAGTTTACAGACTTAGTGCTGTCCTATAAGAGGAAATATTTTCAAAAGATCGGCTAGACTATGAATTATATACATGTAGCGTATGAGGTAAAATTTAAAGAGAGACCCACTCACACACAGAGAATTAACAAAAAAAGTTTGTGTGCGTTTTTCACTGGAGATTATGTGTGTTTCTGTTTATCTGGTTCTAATTTCCCACCCAGTATGAATGAATGAATGAATGAATGAATGAATGAATGAATGAATGAATGAATGAATGAATGAATGAATGAATGAATGAATGAATGAATGAATGAATGAATGAATGATGCTTTATTTCCGTGTCGTGCGCTATCCCGCGCCCAGCCCGTGTGGGCTTATACGACACCGATTCAATAAATTATACATAAACAAAAGACGATCAAAGGTACAGATAACAGAATCCAAACAAAATATGAACGCAAATAAAGGTAGGCTATATACAATAATGGTGAACAAATAAGTGAACTCATAGCAGATCGTAAATACAAATCAACAAATCTGTACATAATGAACAAAGAGTTCATAAAATAAATACAGGTACATAAGTTAAATCAAACATAATAAGTCGTTCTGTGGCAGCCAGCTCATCAGCTTGGTGTTGTTGCCCAGCCCGGTCGGCACCAGTCGAACCGCAGACCTCTATGCGCATCTGTTCTGCGCAGTTTCTAAACTCTTCTTTAAATCTCGCGCTTCTTTTCCAAGGTTATGTGATCCGCGAGAATCCGCGAGAGTTCGCTGCTGTTTACTGTTTAGAATATAACTCCGCTCTGCGAAAGTGTTTTCTGGTCATACATTAATGCATGATGGAAGAAGGACTGGCGTCGCGTACAAGGTTTGAATGCACATCAAAAACATTTATGTAAACATTTATGTAGGTCTAAGATCTTTTTGTTGTACTGCACTACATGTATCGGCAGTTTACACGTGCACCACTGCAATGGGGTCAAATTGTGGCCCAGCATATGCCGTATTTTAGAGAATAACGCGTTCTGCGGTGACCTGCGTTTCGGGTCGTTGCTGTGGCGATGACATGAGGCCAGTCAAGCCGTTGTTTGGGTCGTACCAAATTAGGTCTGTTCCGGTGGAACCGTACCGATATTTTGAATAATTTTTTACCACTAACTGCGCAATTTTGATGATTTGCAACCGATTATAACATGTTTTAATGATTTTATGCCAGTCTGTACACATTTATCTCCATATGCCTTGACGTTCTAAGTAGTATGAGGAAATAAGAGTGGAGACACACACACAAACGAACGTAAACAATAAACAAAAAACAGACACACCAAAAACAAGGAGAAGTCGTAGACATCATCCCTCCATGAAATAGCTTGTTATTTTGTAATCTTTTGGTGTATTTCAATAGAGATATTATGAGTCAAACTTTGTTTTTATCAGCAGAATGATTTGTGGTGGCACTTTGTATTTATCAAGCTGTCATGTGCAGGCGTTTATTTGTTTATTTGTTTATTTGTTTATTTACCATTTGCACGTATATTAAAAACAATTACACAATCAAATAATAATAATCAAAGAATGTGCGGGGTAGGCCAGAAACCTGGGTGGTTTTTCTAGAGGCCTACCCCAAGCAAAGATAACTTATGACAAAACATATTTAAATTAAACATCAAAATTAAACAATGAAATGATTAAACAATGAGTAATTAAACAAAATCAAGACACAGAAATAATAACTGAAGTGTATAAACTAACTAAAACGAAATTAAACAAAAGTCTTATACCTGTAATTCAGGTAGATGTTACAGATTAAACTGATTAAATAATTAACATAAGAATTAACGATTAAAACAAAATATTAACAATAACAAGGAAAACAAACAAATCAGATTGTGGATGTACTGGGATTTTGTAGGAAAAAGTTTTTAAGAAGTTTTTTAAATACAGGAGTTGACTGAGTGTCTTGTTACCATGGTTTGTTTACTTTGATGGCCAGCAGGTCATTTACCTTAGCCTGGGTACCATCCCCAGTAGTATATTCGCAAACTCTATAACTGTTATAGAGTTTGCGAATATACTACTGGGGATGGTACCCAGGCTACATTTGCCTGTACATGTAGGTCAATGACCTGCAGACCAGACAAACAAGATTTATTTTCCTGCAGACTCTCACGGTCTAGGGGTAAAAATAGATAGGGCTGCCTGGGTCTGACCTGCCAGCTGGAGGTATAAACAAAAACACTCTGTCCCAACTTTTGGGTCAAACAGACCATCCTATTATGAAGTAGGGGTGAAAAAGTGAAAATCCTTTTAAATTAAGCAATAAAAATATGCGACAACCTGCTAATGCACTCCAAAACACAAAGAGACTCAACAACTACCCACATACCAAAAATCATACCAAACCATCCCCCAGATTTTCCAAACATTCAACACAAAAAGTCCAACATTAAACATTTTGTAAATATCAAACGCAAACAGCTAGGGGACCCAAATTTAAACCACTAAACCATGGTAATAACAACTACATGCTACCTTAATATCGCACAAACAGTCCATAACGCGAAAACAACAGAATAAAAAAATAAACTGCAGTACCAAGGTCAACCACCAGGGGCTCAAAGTCAACCTACACAATCTCCAAGGCCCCATCCATCAATCTGCCAAATATCGTACAGTTCCTTCTCACCGATCTTCAGATATCAGACCAAACATGAAACGGAGTAAAAACAGTACCCCCATTTTCATGGAGGGTAACAATACCTCTAATTTCACGGAGGTAATAACTAGCCCAGTCATGAACAGCCTTGCTACGTATACGGAGGCCTAAGTTTCAACCCGAACGGCGACCCCATGGGTAATAAACTAATGGACTCTTTACCCAATTACTTTGGTACATAAGTCAGTGCCTTGCTCTCAGCGCACCATATAGAGCTAGAGGAGCGCCCAATTTCCGAAGCCAATCCGGTCTAAAATATCATTCGGTGCCACCTCTTCTTCCGGAGACGCATGATGAGTCTGGCTGCTGCTTTGCCGGCGAGGAGACGAATTCCGCGGCGGGAACAGGTCGTGAGGGACACCGGGAGATTCTGGCATCCATGCGGCAAGAGTTAGCGCGGAAGGAGACTAAGGCCTTTGTATGTTTTCTGAATCTGCGGGACTGGGATTCTTGAATGGAGTATCTTTACGGAGGAAAATGCACAGTAATGACTACCTGTAGGAAAGATCTTCATAGAGAACAGAGAGCACAACTGCGTTGAATGCCCCCCCTAACTATGATGCAGACTTGAATCATGATGGTCCTGTGATGTCCTGGTAAACCTTGTAGACACTGACATCTGTGGAATGCACTTCGCAGTGCTGTCGCGTAGAGATCGTCAAAACTAGAGACAACCCTGATGAACGTAAACGGTGGCTTAAAAAAGGTATGTTTAAAAAAACAAACTTGTTTCGAATTATACATTACATCTCATGTTACAACTTTTTTCTGTCCCTGAAATTGGAACTGGCTTATAGTGCGAAAACAAATCTTCTTCACCCCTTTCTTCTTTATTGTAACTTTAGCCATCTCTTTGACAAATGATCTATATGGTCTCTGTTAAAATCGAACTCACAGGTCACATTGAGAACCGAAATGGAAGTAGGCAACATTTTCGTTCCTGGCTCAACAGATTCAAACTGAACTATGACGTTCTTCGCGACTCCCGGCGTGGTCATCTCCATCATGGTGGGATGCCTGATCGCCTTCGGGTTCCTCTTCCTGTGCGCGTACTCCATCCACCGGGTGTTCTGCGTGCGGCCGGCGGCGCTGGTCGTGGAGGGGCCCGAGGACGACAGCGACGACACGCCGGAGGACGAGCTCTGTGAGATCACCATCACCGTGGATGAGGAGAGCAACGGGAGGGACAAGTCATGTCAGGTTGGTGCCGTTATTTACAAATGATGGAAGGAAGGAAGGAGGGAGGAAAGGAAAGAACGAAGGAGGAAAGAAGGTAGGCTAGGCGGGAAGGAAGGAGGCAAGGAAGGGGGACAAGGGAGTGAAGGAAAGAAGGGGGAGGGAAGGAATTGAAATCGAAGGAAGAGAGGGTGGAAGGAAAGGCGAGAAAGAAAGAAGGAAGGAAGGAGGGAGGGACATGAGTGATGGGGTGGTGACTAATAAACTGACAAAGGCATTTCGTTCTTGTGTCGAGGTCAGAGAAAGAGTAGCTTTCAATAGACAAAGACTGATTGAGATACATTTTACTAACTTCATTCTTTGTATTCAATTCTTGTCCTGCGGGGCCCATATATATGTGGGTTGCACTTACAGTACCATCCATATAGCACCCTGCATATGTACGGTTTGGGGGTACTTCTCGTGCAACGCATCACACTGCAGCAAAAATGTGGAAGTGGCAAAAAAAGTCAAGGGTTTGTGACCTGATTAAGACATCAAATTATTGAAAAAAATATTGTGAAAAAAATACCAACAGGACAAGGGTTAATTCATTCATCATTTTTCTATCTGACTAATTTCCTACCCCCAGGTGGCCATCATAGACGGACTGAGCGGGGAGGTGCTTACGGGGTTCGGTACGGGGGAACTCGTCCCTACGCCCGAGAGCGAGACCGTCGGCAGCCCCTGCGAACCTCGCGGGCCCAAGACTTACATCGAGCTGAAGCAGGCCGCAGACGGGGGGTTCGTGATGAAGGAACACGTAGTTTACCCTGAAGACGTTGAGGAAGAAGAAGAGGAGGACAACTTCAGACGGACCGTGGCAGTTCAGACGCCCGCGTTAAAATTCGTAAATGACGTTTCAGGTCAGAATAAAACGCCCGATACAGAAGATGTAGAAAGTCGCGACGATCAGAAGGATTCCTGCGGTGTAACCGAGACGACTTGCATCTCATCACCGACTCAAGACGTCTTAGACCCCGGAGTTCTTCAGACGAACTGCCTGAAATGCGAACCTCACCTTCAAGGGGAGGTTATAGGTTTAAGAGAAAGACTTCATAATTAAGAGTCGTCTTAAAACGAACTAGTAGCTAGTTAGTTAGTCTCAAATTGTTCTTTTGCACATGTTGTACGAGCCACTATTCTCTCTACAACACAGGAATACAACTCCAAAGTACACAAAGTTAGCAACGATAGAATGCTGGGAACGGGACGTCATATACTGTTTTATTCTCGTTCCCCACGTAGTATTTCAGCGTCTAGAGAAGTAGATGTTTTACAGCTAGGAATGTGAGTAAATATTTCTAATATATAGCATTCAAGAAGTATATACATTGTATAGGGAAAAAGTTAAGTTATGAAACTAGGCTGGAACTAAAACAAACACAGGGTGTAAAAAAGAAGACCCAGAAATGTACAGAGCCATACTGTTAAGGGTAATTATAAGTGAGTGCCACTGCAAGCAAATTGCTGCTAAACACTAGTTAGTCGTGTAAGACCTATTGAAAACTATTATAGAGAAACTAACAATCATTTCATTTCATTGTGATGTCAGTGTTGTGGTTAACTAAAGGGAAGTCAGCCATCTTGGATGAAATTAATGGCATTTCATCCTCACTGTGTGTATTTGTACTATAGAAGAGTCTTAAGACGACTTTATTAAGGTCGTAGTAACGTATAAAACACACATAAAGACACATGCACACACAAACACACATAAACGCAAAGACACATACATACACACACACACATGCACACAGACAGACACACAGAGACACACATACACACACAGACACACATACACACACAGACACACATACACATACATACACACACAGACAGACAGACAGACACACACAGAGAGGGACAGACAGACACACACACACACACACACACACACAGACACCCAGGCAGACACACACAGAAAGACACACAAACACACACAGACTCACACACAGACACACAGACACAGACACACACACACACACACAAACACACACAGACAGACACACACAGACAGACACACACACACAGACACACACACACACAGACAGACACACACACAGACACACACACACACACACACACACACACTCACATCTCACGGACGGTAAATTTGCCGTAATTCTTACTGTTTTGTTTTGCTTATAATCCAAGATGGCGCAGATGATACCTGATTACAAATATAGAAAATGAACACTGACATGTAACGTTAGAATAAGTATGTACAGGGAATCTAGAATGAAATCTGGATTAATTTGTGTCTGTAGATTAAATGACAAGACCTATATAATCCGTCTGATAATTCAATAAAACTATTCCATATCAGGCGTAGTTGGTTACTCTTTACTTAAAAGAAACGTTTCGTTGGTTAAAATCTTCAGTCGGTTGAAATATACACCATTCTACAAAAACAGAGCTTTAAAACACTGCACGACGACGCAAGCCAATACGGTAAAAAAAATCAATGACCGAAACAACAAGGCAATCAGCCTAATGGAGCTGCCCAATTGACTTCTCTTGACCTTAGAATGTGAACAAATTGAAGAGGAGACGTCCGAGCGTAATTTTCATATTAGCTATGGACGCTGTTTATTAACCTACAAGCAGATGTATTGCGTTTTGGCTTGCTTAGTAAGTTATATATTCGTTCATCATCAAGCAAAGATGGGTTTAGGCATATTGACTAAGATACTATAAGTACTTTTGAGGAGGGGGGGGGGCATGTAGACGACATTCGGCAGGATTTTTTGATCGCCAGAACGTCTCGCCGAATTTCAAAATTGCCAGATGTTAGACTAGTATAATATTTGGCTGAAAATGCACTCTATCTCATTGGTCAGGGCTCCGGCGCGAGCATCGGTCGATGTCTAAATCGTGCAATTATGGACAATATTCCAGGACTCCTATCGCATGGCTGCTAAAAATTTGCTCTAGACCTCGCAGACTCACCAAGCGAGCTATTTTCCTGTTGTATGGCGCCGGAATAACAAGAGCGTTCCACATGAGCACGCCTTTTGTGCACGATTTCCAAATTACAGTCATTCTTAACTTTTTCATACCATGTCAACTGATAGTGGTAAGTTAAGATTTTATGCAAAATGTAAAACCATGTACAACATAAAGCGATATCTTAATCTTGCAGACTTCGAACTACGCTCAGCCATTAGCAAAATTAGAGTTAGCGCCCATCCTCTGGAGATAGAGAGAGGCCGGTATAGAAGTATGTGAAAGAATTTGTAAATATTGTAAAGCAAAGGCTGTGGAAGACGAAATACATTTTATCTCAAATTGTTCCTTTCATAGCAACGCTCGAAATGAGTTAACTATGCAAACTTCTACAATTTATCACAATTTTACTAAACTTACAAAGAAAAAACTATTCTTCTTTTAACTTCCCAAAACCCACTAATTTTAGAAAAGGTGGGACATTACGTCTCCCATGGTCTAAAAAAGAGAAGTCAAGCCCCTTAGACATAGTTTTAGACATAGCTCTAGACAACTACCTTTTATCATGTAGATTTTAGTTATTTTATACTACGTTTCATTGTTCTTTTATGTTTGTAATCTGCAATTAGCCCCCCGGGCATGAATTTGCAATAAACTTCAATTATTATCTCAACACACATCCGGACTTCGCATAACGCCCCCTACCACCAGCCCAACTTTCACCCTATCTTGCTTCAGAGATAACTACGTCATGTACACTGTTTACTACCATACATGTATTTTACCGCCTGGCAAAAGAAAATAATCACTACTATGATAACAAAACATTCGTTATTTTTTATTATCAATTGGAAACAAACGCATACATGCACTCACAGACACATAAACACACACAACAACAGTTTTCAATAAGTAAATTTCCATTGCTGTAGCAGTGACGAGTAATCGCAAGGCATCATGGTCGGTTGAAACGAACCGTTGTCCACTGCGATACAAAGCTTGCTCACAAGGTGGCGTATAAGTCCCGTTTGCTGTAGTGAGACAAAGAACATTCAAGAAGTTAATACACTAAAGGAGATAGCCAGATACCTTTACATTCAAAATAAGTCAATTGATGAAACAAGCAAAATGAGCGGACCAATCGCGAACGTCCATCCCTATTGGGTTATGCAGTAAAGCTCGCTCATTGGTTTATTCGATGGTCATATATAGGTCACTGGCCATGCGTTATTTCACCATAAACACCGAGGGAAAGTGGATCATTAACCTCTGATTAAACCACATTTGATATTCCCAATTCTCACCTTGTCGTACTCCCATCTCTGGTTCCCGCCCTCCCCATGACAAGCCAAGAACACTAAAGCCTTCTCCCTGGACAAGGAGTCGACGTCAAAGCAAAGATGGCGGTCGGTGATTTCTATCTCCCTCAGTCCCGTGTACGTGAAATTCTGGGGGGCAAAATTCAACGACATACAAGTTTTTTTTTTTTTTGTAATTAGTAAACTCATGATTTAAGAATTTCTTTGGGGTGATTCTTTTGTCAGTGTGAAATACCAGGGTTTTTTTTCTGGAGTAGACTCCTGGTTTTCAGAATTTCTTGGAAGTGATTTTGTCTCAGTACAAGAAATAGTATACCTTGTATACTTGGCGACTATCGCGTACAGAAATGGGATGTCATGTGGTATGTAATAGTTCCTGTGTCATGCAATACAGTCAAATTGTCAAATAATTCACTGCAGACTGCTTC